GCGGACCAGGATGATTGGGGGGGGGATCAAACTGAAGAATCAATCAATGGGCCCTATTTACAGGTTTTGCAAATAGATTTTAAAATTTTAGCTCTAACTGAAATGTGTTAAACCCAAACAAATGGAGATGACGGAATGATGAAACTACTCTGACAGACAAATACAGCGAGAATAAGCAAACCGTGTTGATTGGGGTTAAATGTAACTTCAAACCGAATATGTCTTCAGTACTTCAAGGGTTTGCAAATGATTTAAAAAATTAGGCTCTAACTGACTGAAGTTTCTGAAACTAAATCTCTGAAGATGACGAACGTCTGAACGCGACTGATAAGCCTGAACAGCGATGATACTCAGATCAAGTGAACCTCAGAAATTGTTTTATGTTTTTGAATTGTTTGAATAAAAAGAGACAATTCAGCGAGAAAATATCAAACGAAAATGCAAGTGGAGTGTTTATTGACGACAGGTACAATAGGTGCACTCCTTTTAAATGAAATCTCGCTTTTTTGTCAGGAATCTTATGCACTTCCGGAAGAGAAAATGGGAACAAAAAAAGAAGCCGGATCGCGGAAACGGGCGAGCACTTGATATTAGCATACACAAAAGGCTCAAAAACGTCGATACGGCTTCTCAATATCGACCGATCCGGGTGGCCAATTGGTCGATTCTCTCCGCCGGCCAAAAGTCAACATGTGCAGAGCGAATCGGCCGTTTTGGCGGCTGAGCCGAACGATTCCCGACGGTCTTTTTAAGACCAGGCGATAATCGTTCAAGTTCGGCCCATCCTCGACACCTTTCACTTTTATTGCCTCCTGAAGAACCGACTAGTGGTTCAATTAAACCCCCGATGGCTATTTAATCCGCTTATAAACTGTATTATTATTAAAAAGAAAACATATTTTATACATTTATGTTTTAATGGTCTAATTGACCAAATTACTTCTTTCAATTCGTGGTTAGAGCAGAAGCGTATTGAGCCGAAGGTCGCGGGTTCGTATACAGCTCGTGACACTAAATTTTTCATCTCAACCAAGACATTTCATAAAAAGAATACTTTTATACCCTCAACCGATAATTGAAATAACAATAAACTCACGTATTTGTTAATCCTCCGTTTAAAACGACGACGATCACTTGACCTTGTATTTTAACAGATTCAATTAAATACTGATTGGTTTCTCTCCCCACTGCCTCCTGGTCTGACAGTTCTGTCTGATTTGTATAAAACTATCAGATTTGCTCAATTTATATTTTGTACAGATCGTAATAAATAAAATAAATATATGTTTTTTTATAATTTATTTATTGTTATTTACATCTACAACTTTCGTTACAATAAGTAAATTCGATAATTCATTGTCTAACATGATAATTAAAGATGATGGGAGAAGCCACCCACTGGTGGCACCCCTGCACCCTCACACTGCACACACATACTCATCACTGAAGCAAATCCCTAGGCCAAAGATTCTTCAGCCGACGTGGAGATTTTCAGGTAGGGTTAATGTGGAAACGATGTTAATGGATGTGGAAAAAATGTTAATGTGTTAATGTAGAAAGTTGGACGAGGAGGTTTGGATGTATAGAAATAGTATTGCGGAATGTCTAATGACACGTTCTTACAAGATCATGAGCGAATGAAATATGGAGGTTAATGTGAATGGTTTTATTGGAGATGTAGAAGGAAGCATTAAGGAATTTTCTTAAGGTTTTGGATTGGAGATATTGGATACGGGATGAATTGGAATGTTTGGTTCAGCCCCAAATAAATTGTGTAAATGGTCAGTTTGTTAAGGGTTAGGTGAGATCATTGATCGAATAGTCTGTAAGAGTTTTGTAATGACGGTTCATGTCTTGTCGTTTCAGGCGAGTGTGTGGATTCCACGTCAATCTTTTAACTATGTACAGTCCCAAGTACCGTACTTTGTCAGCAGTCTGTATCAGTATATTCAGTAATAGAGGTCAGTGTTTTTCTTAGTGCAAAAGTAACGAACACTTTTCCTTTCGTTCAATTTGATTCTCAATTTGCGGTACCAATGTTCTAATGGGTTGGAGCGACAAGAGAGAATAGCCGTGTAATTGCCAAGTGTGGAGATGACTGTGTTTGGGGTAGTAGGAATGTCAGCAATGTATATTGTAAACAGGATCGGACCAAGGATACTTCCTTAACAAAAATAATTTAAATTTGTTTATTAAACTGATGTTAACATTTGTGTAAATATTGGTTTAAACTGTTGCCTGAATGAACCTTATATTTATAATTGTGGACCGACAGATAATGGTTTTAGCAATTTCACGGTGATCCACAGTTTATCTAGTCATTGGTCCGCATGTTCTCGTTCAAATCGGCTCTACTTGATCTTCCCGAAGTCTTCAGAACTTCTAATCGCCCGTAAGGTTTCCTGGTGAAAGGGAAAAACATGGAGGGGTTGATAAAAGACCATAGAGCCCCTGTGAGAATATTTGCCACTTTATTATTCAAATCAGAATTTATTATTACAATTTTTCTTCAATCTTCCTCGCTCAGTTGACAAGAAATTTAACTCCAGAAAAAAAAAGTATGTTACTTAATAACTTTACATATCTTTGTAATGTTACCAATAAACAGAATTAAAAGTTTTTAATCTAGAGAGAATTTTTCACTCTGAGAAAATACAACATAAAAAAGTCCCACATCAAAATCACAGTCTATCATGGGTTGGAATCGCATCGTAGATATTTCTATGTTGGGTGTTTTTGTTTTTTTACAAGGAAGTGAAGCTTTGGACTAACAATGCCTCTTCCTCTTCTCGGCTCATCAATTATTTCTTAATTGTTTTCTCACGGAACGAGTAATTTATCCGACGAGACCAACAATGTTTCCCTGAGAATACTTGATACTTAATGTGTTTGGTTTTGAGCTTCTAGCGACTTTTTGTCAATTTCAATCTAATGTTAACTTTTAAAAAATCCTGATAAAATATTTCCAGTTGTTCTGAATATATTGTAATTGTGCTTTAGCCGCAGGATTAACACTTACTTCACTTGCTCTGAGGGGTCTTATCGAAAAATACTTAAATTCTGTTTTACAAAACCCTTATTCAAATCAGATTTTCCAAATTATAAACCTATCTGCATCAAATCAGCAGTCTTTGAACCTGTCATACTAAAAAAATTACAACCCTTGCTAAACAGTTTAATAATTTCTCCATGTGGCTTTAATACATTTAAATCAACAACTACCAATTTAACAGATACTCTTTCAGGATTTAATCTGCCAATCATTCCTAAAATGATTTTATTTTTATCTAACTGGCAGAAGCCAAGTTGTTAAAGTATTATATCTACTCTTAAAAAAAAAAAAAAAAAAAAAGTTGAGCCTTTCTGGAGTTTCTCAAGGCTCACTTTTTGGTCTTTTCTTGTTTAAACTCTTTACAAATGATATTTACTCTTGTATTCCACAATTCGATTAGAAGACCGGTGCAGGGTGCATTTTTTAATTTATTGCAAAATCTAAATATTTCATTAATGCACATTATATCCTCCCAATTTTGCCAAAAGAACTAACTAAAATGTTATTTGTAATCTTAAACATCATAAGTATCATAGCTGTTATCTCGATCATGATTTACTGTTATAAAACTAAGCTTAAATTCAAAAAGAAAATTGTAAAAGCTTTATTTTTTTCTACTGTCTACTATATTCAATCGACTTGAGCAAATATTTTAGATCATTTTTATATTTAAGTTATATTTTATGACCTGTTATTTTGGATAAATTCAAAAGAGTTTGTTGCATTTGTCTGGAAATGGAATCATAGATATTTATGTTTGATTAAATGTTAAACATACCTGGTGAAATATTTCCAAGTCATAGAGAAAACACAGATCTACGTTGACGCACATGGTATTGCACAACAACATTCAATGGTGGAGGCTTTTAAGAAGGAAAACTGTCAAATCATGCTATCAGAAATGTCTTCACGCTACAATGTGGTAAATGTACAATGTGACCATGCAGCACACGTCCAGTTTTTTGAATACAAACCACTTTTGAAAGGGGAACTCTTCTACATTTTCTACCATTAAACATCGACCTGTATTGTATTTATAAAAAAGGTAGCAAAACAAGCACTGTTTGGAAAACAAAATCACATAAATAAAATTAAATTAAGGACCTCATCCTGGTCCTTTCTTCCAGTCATAGATCAGTTCTCCTTTTGCACAGGCAAACTCTCTGTTCCACCGCTTGACAAGATTCCCCAGATTAAAACAAAAACAAAAACGTTCCGGCTGGGCCTCCTTCACCTTCCAAAGGCCGCCCGCGAGTCTTCAGCTTCTTGCCGGCCTCACTCAACATTGCCAAGTTGCCAAGGGCACTCTTGTCTCCAGCTGAATCTGGTCACCCCAGTCCAAAAAAATTCTTCTAGTAACAGTATGATTTTTTTTCTCCTAGTCACAAAACTCAAACTATGCCCAGAGGATTCAAGTTAATAGTAACCGGCCAATGCACTCAATATTAGGGATTAAGGAGTAAAGAGGTATCTAGGTAGGCTATTGTCGTTTATGCAAATGTGGCAGGATGGAAAAGTGTACATAAGGTTTGGCAGTTGGGTTAGAATGGATCAATCAGATCAGTTAGTTGACAAAAGGAATGTTGAGGTCATTAGAGATTACTGGTGTAGTAAAGAGCTTTGACAATTTGTCTGAGTTTTGATTGGAAGGAGTGGGTATGCAGGATATTGGATAGCTTGGCAGATCTGCACAATTGCATTCCATACGTCCAGAGTGGTGGAGAATTGAGAAAACAAATCAAAACCAACATTAAAATATACATTATTAATTTTATTTCATTTAATACTGTACAAATATAAGCTGGCAGTCGTTGAGTACTTAAGAAAAATAAGTAATTTAAAAAATATTTTAATAAATAGTAATATTGCACAATAGTTTTGAGTATTAAAAATGTAACAAATATTCAATAGACTTTCTAAATAGAAAAACAATAACCTATTAATAAATTTTTGAATTACAAAAAGTGAGTGAAAAATATCAATACTTTTTTTTAATAAAAAATTATTACCACAAAAAAAGGAATAATAAGGAAAAAGACGACTTTTTCCAAATTGCATAAGTAGTGACAATGATCATGTCACAGCTTCGTCTTTTGATGCCGTCGTTGTGTTTGTACTTTTGGTTTCTCCCTGATTCAAAGACTCACAAGAGACGTCGAGCTTTTCCATCAGCTCGGACAGTTTTTTAGACTTCTTAAGCTCATTCTGCTCGATAATGGAACACAGATGGGATGTGAGGAGCATTTTGTTTTCTTTGGCTTTCATCAGGCTTGCCAATGCTGTGTTATACTCCTTTTCCGCTTTGTCAAACCTCTTCCTGTAAATCGATGAACTTATGAACTAAATTTTTCAGTGTGTAAAGTATTAGTTATCATTCCCACATAAAAATGAGAAAGGTTAAATATTTTTGCAAGCAGTCATTATATATTATTATTATATTAACCTTGTTCTATTACCATTAATTTTTGTAACCCTCCCCACAGGTTTGCAAAAGCTGAGGTCATATAAACCCTCCTATTCTGGTGTGTATGGTATTTTTCCATTGAAAAATTTCATTTGGAAGAATCCTTAAGTTTATTTTGGAATGTTAAACTTACTGAGCATCCAAAAATAACATGCTAGCCTTTTCAATCCGATTTCTAATAATGGCAATATCATTGGTGAGTCCAGCGTCGATTTCCTTCAGCTCAGATTCAATCAGGTTCAATTTCTTCACCTCTTCTTTCGTCTTCTGTGCTCTAAAAAATAATTAAGCTAACATTTAAGATGCAACAGCTAACAATAAATTAATAAGTGCCTCATCTGAAGCGCCTTTTGCAGTTCTTCTTTTGCTTTGGCATTTTTGATTTCAAGTTGCTTCCTCCTCTCTTCGAACTCATCAAGGTCAGGAGGAGGACTGACATCAGCTTTCTGGGTTCCTGATTTGGGTACATTGTCAATGCAGTTCGATTGAAGGAGTTTCGGCCCGTCTCCATCATGCAGTTCCAACTGTTCTGTCAGTTGCAAACTTATCTCATTTGGACCTTCTATGACGAGAGTTTCCTAGAATTTGACAAATTACATTTATATCAATTGCTAACACATGTGGCAAATGGCAACAAGGAAATAAGGGGAGAAATAAAATTTTAAAACAAGAGTAAAACACATGAAAATGTTTGTGATATGAAATATTGAAAGTAACAGGCTTCCTTTTGAAGTGTGGAAAAATTTTATTGCTCATACTTTGATGATGGTGAGCGCCGCTAGAGTTTATCCACTTCTCCTTTTGTTTTCTTTGGATCCATTCTGTGATGGAGGATTCTGTATTTGTTTCTGTTATCGCAAGTATAGGTTTGGGACCTATGTATGGTCTTGCAGATCTTCCTCTGGCCAATGTGTCTGCTTTATCATTACCCAAAATTCCTTTGTGTCATGGCATCCAAGATATCATCAGGTTGTTGTGTTTCCCTAGGTTTTTGTTGATTTTAGATGCATTCACTGACTAGATTTGATGTGATTTTTATACACGCTATTGCTTTAATAGCTGCTGGGCTAACCAATCTTGTGAAGATTTTTGTTTTCCAGTGTTTTTGGCCTCTTTTAAGATTTTCTAGGGCACAAGCATTGATGGCATGTATTTCTGCTTGAAAGACCGAAGTGTACTTCCCTAATGAATTTGATTGTTCATATCTTGGGCTAGCTACTTTTAGTTTTACTTTGGTCAACAAGATTAATAATACAGAGTTTATTTTCTGCTAATAGGCCATTTTCGGCTTTAATTCCCAAGATTTGTCTAGGGTTCTTGTTGTGGTCATTAGCGATATTTTACTTTTTTCTATAGTATGCTGCAGGTGAGGGTTCGAGGTTACCGTCTTATCAAAGATTATTCCTAGGTATTTAGCTCATTTAACTGCAGCATTTTATTATAGAAAACGTAGGCCTTGTATTTCTATGTTCCTGTTGTGAACACCACTGAGCATCACTGGGTAAAGAGAACAACCCCCATGGGTGCCCTGGAAGTCCATCTAAGTCTACCACCACTACACATCGTTATCCAGGAGAGGCCAGAGCCACAATTCATAGGCTAATGCAGGGACAGGCTCTAATAGCCTACTCACATAACAAGGAGCAACTAAAGCTTTGAGGGGGAGCTTCAGCTAGACAGAACTTTACTGATGCCATAACCCCTAAATTCAGCTTTGAGAAAAAAAATCTAACCAAAATACCTCCTAGAGCAGACTGGGAGAAAGGATCCCAGTCAATGCTGACTATATCTGGTTAATATACAGCTCCAAAACCGAATATGGGTCAGGACAATATGCCACCGGCTTTCAAGTGGAAACTGTGGCTATTGAACACAGTGCCTGGGAAATGAAAACGCTGGGTATTTTAATTAGAAGAAAAGCCATCCACTCGGACAGCCTGGCGGATCAAAAGTTCAGTCATTTGGGACTGCGTTAGAGCCCTGTAAGACATTGGGAAAAATAACAAAATTACTCTTGTCTTAGAGCCAGGGCAAAAGGGCAACGGAGAGGCCAATAAATTGACTAAGGAGAGTACAATGAACCCTTTTGTGACTTACTAAACTCCCAAACAAACAGCCAAAAACACGGATTAGACAATTTAATAATAAGTCCTCCGCTCAATGGGACTATAACAATCAAAGTACCATCGCAGAAACTAACACCAAACTACTAAATCTAGGACATGCTAGGACTAGAATAATAGTTGGACTTATAACTGGACACTGCAAACTCCGGAGGCATATGTATAGACTCAGAGTGGAAGAAACTCCGCAGATATTGCCAAGAAGAAGAAACAGCAGAACACGTTCTCTGTTGGTACGAACGCCTATGTAGGCTGAGATTTGAATCCTGGGAGTGCAAAAGCCAGGGCCTGGAGGATACAGACGGGAGCCCTTGAAAAAGCTTCGGGGTCTGGTAAAAAGCCTCAAGCTTAACGAGGAGCTCTAAAAAAATGGAAATGCACTATAAACCAATACTGGTCACGGTGCACAGGTAGTAAACAGGCCAGCTCCTATGTAATCTAACCTAACTATTGCTTTGAAAGGAGTTTTATCAAATTCTCCTTTAATGTCCAAGAAGGGGGGGATTACAAAACACATGTTGATTGGAAAAATGCAATACAGATAAAAATACTTCATTCTTGACCGCACCTCATAACTTCATATTATTGAATAAAATTAATTGAATTCAATAAAAATTAAACATTAATTTATAATGATTATTAATTGTGTACCTTTGTGTTTCTAGATAGTTTAGCCTGTTCTGGCATATCTGCGAACGTGATGCCGGCACCCTTGGCAGCCCTGGTCGCACGTCTCGCCCGGTCTGGAATCGAAAACGAGTGAAAAGCCTCTTCGGCTTTGCACGATTTGGCTTCGTACGAGTGGCTTTACTCACCCGGGCTTTTTTCGCGTTGAACCCCGCCGCCGACCATGTTCCGCAAGTCGGAGTCCGTGAAGCCGTAGAAGCCGTCGGCCATCGTTGACGCGGATGCGGACTTTCGACTTCCCAGGATCCGTCGTCGAGGATCGCCCACGGATTTTATCTTTTATCACTTCCTCGACCTGAAACCTCAACGTCAACATTTTCACGAGTAACGACACCAGGCGCCATCTTCCGGCCACGGGACTACAAACGGTTCAGCAGAGTTCTTACAAATTCTTCCACTTCTTAGCGCGTCTGTTCACCGAACCAAGAAAAAATACATCAGGTAAACGAAAATACTATAAAAAATAAAATCCCCCTTTAACAGCACCTCAACATAACGTAAAAATAAATGTATAAAACATTATTCAACAAGATCACGAAAACAATCGTCAGCAAGACGCCATGTTCTCAACTGTCATGAATTTTTTTAAACAATTTAACCTCTATTCCACCATTATCGTTATCTATATTTATGATTTTTTTCATTCTTTACATTGTCAGATTATGTATTTAACATAACGCATAACATCCCAATGGACAATTAGGAATAGGACAATACAATGGACGGAGTATTTGATACATTGACAGCAAGACGCCATGTTCTCAACTGACATGAATTTTTTTAAACAATTTAAACGCTATTCCATTATTATCGTTATTTATATTTATGATTATTTTTTCTAACTTTACATTATCAGATTATGTTACTTGTTTTTATGTGTATAACATAACGCATAGCTTCCCAATGGACAATTAGGAATAGCACAATATAATGGCTGGAGTGTTTCACACATTGACAGCAGAAAGCCGTTGATAAAAACTGCCAAAATGTATGTTTTTAAATAATTCAACCGTAATTCAATTATTATCATTATTTATATTTATTAATGTTATAGTCATGTTATACATATGGCACAAATTAATTTTTACATTAACCTCAATGTGTATAACATACTTGTAGCTTAATCGCTACAATGGAGGAAACATACGCTATGATTTGGGGGGTTTGACAAGTCGATAAAACAACGAAACAAAACTTTTTTCAACATTAGACAAAAACGAGCGATGTTAGACGGACCAAAATGATCAGAAAGGGCCAAATTATAATAAAGTCAATAAGGTTAATTTTATGGAACATTGTTCAGCAAGATGATGATAACACATTGATAGCATGACGCCTTCAAAAAACTGACATAAAGTATGGTTTTAAATAATTTAGTCGTAATTCAATAATTATTATTATTTATATTTATGAATGTTATGGTCTTGATATACGTATGAACATGTATAGGAACCAAATTAATTTTTTTGTTGCCCCCAGTGTGTAGAACATACTTGTAGTATAATAGCTACAATGGAGGGATCATAAGCTTTGATTAGAGGTGTTTGACAAGTCGAAACAACACCTTTTCAACATTAGATGAAAAAGTGCGAGGACATATGGACGAAAATGACTGTAAAGGGTCAAATTATAATAACGTCAATAAGATAACATATTGATAGCATATGGCCAATGTTATTAATTGGCAGACTCTTTCATGTAACCACTATTTCTATTATTATCATGATGTATTCATTTTTTACTCTCTCTAAATTTTATTGCCAGATTTCATATGTATGTTCATATTATTATATATTTATTAATTTGAATGACATACAATGTTAATTGGCTTATCAGGTAGTTGGGCAACTCACGAACAAAAAATTTAACAATTTTCAAGGAGTTTGTGTACTGAGAGCTTAACAGAAGTTTTAGTTTTTATAAATGAACAGCGTGGATTCGCAGACCAAATAAATAGAAATTGATTAAAACATTAGATCATCTCCTATAGATACCTCACAGTGCCCAAGGAAATTGTTCCTCTTTCGGTTATGTGTCGAAATAAGTTCTGATTCCTTACCATTTGGAAAAGATTATTGATTCATTGAAATAAACTCAATTCTTCACACGTGCACCGGTATTTTGTTGGTACAGGGTCAGACCGTTTTATCCGTACCACCCTCGAAGTTAAGTACCAGGGGATGTCAACAAGGTCTTTTTTGCCCCCATCGCATGTCATTTATTCAATCATATTCTTTTTTATTTACATACCATTCATCCAGTTAAGGTGGTGGAGTACTTGATATTCTTCCATTGCCCTTTAAACATACAAACAACTATACACACACACACTAACTAGTCTACTTGAAGGTCTAAATACCATAAATACTAAATAAATTATGAAACTCTGTTACAAAAGGTTAAGTTTTATACATGTATTATTAAAGTTCAATAATTTTTAATTTCTTTATTTTATTGGTGATTAAATTATTTTTATTTACCCTTTTTAAGGCAACTTTTTATGAAAATTGAAAATCTATTAAAAGTGTCACGGGTAGGGCTTGAACACAAGGTATTAAGTCATTACTTCTTTATTCTTTGGGTTATACTCTTTACACCATAGGTAAAATGTGGTTTGAATATGGGTGCAAAACATTCATATTAGGAGTAGTAATTGAATCTGTTTTGTTTTTGGATCAGTACAAATTTTATGTATTTTATCAACACCTTTTGTCAAAGCGAAAATTACTGATAGACTTGAAAATCTGGCTTGATGAATACACAGAACATATGCACCAGATTTTGTCATAAATGTATGATTGATATGATGAGGATATTTTTACTAGTTTTTCTTTGGGTCACAGTGCTTATTTCTCCAGCTGTTGTAACGTTTAGCAGTATACGTATAGTTTTGGTTAGGCTGTATGCAGATCTCATCAGTTCAAGTACATTTATAAGTACAGTGTTGTTTCAAGTTTCCATGGCTTTTGAGAAATTAAAGTTGATAGTGAGTTTTGGTCTTCGATAGTGTTGACTGGCTCAGTAAATAACCCAATGCTGGTTCAACATGTTTTGAGTTGTTGGATGGCTCTTCTATAAATCACATTACAGTGTTTCCATTTTTCTAAATCACGGATCATTGAAATAATAGACTATATTTGTTTTTATTGGTTTACTCAATTTTCAAGAGAAAATTTACAATTTTACATCTTTGAATATTAGCTTTTACCTACGTTTTACCTTTAAATTTGGATTAACGTAGAGAATTAATCAAGAAAATAAACTATAACATTATCCCTTTATAAAAGTTGTACATCATAAGTACTTTAACATAACTAGTGCGTTATTAACATGTGCAATACATTATTTACAAATATATGTGGCCTCTGCAGTCCAGTAGTATACAGCTCTCTACATTTAGAGCTCAATTGAATCCTTAAATAAATATAGTTTCACCTTCACTTTGTCTTGATCGGTTGAGTCGTTTCGGTTTCAATAAGTTAACAGAATTGAAAAGTTAAAAGAATCCCAGCCGATCTCATTATGTTAAATAGGGCGGTAAAAGAATTATCGAGACGTAATTTTTAATATGCGATGACGAACCGTGAGCGGATACGCCACCTGAAACTCCTTTTCCTCTTCCGAATGCGGAAATTCATAATATTCAAACACGAACTTTTCATCCCTCCGTAGGCCAAAACGTGTTTATCTATGTTTGGGCATATCCCCGAAAGTAACGGACTGAAAGCTGGAGGATGGCTGGTTGAAATCGTTGCTATGGCCGACGTGCGATTGGTAGCCGACTGATAAACCATCGTCACCTTGTGACACTTTGCTGTGATAGCCGGACCCGGCGGGAGGTCCCGTGGCCTGTTTGACAGAAGGGACAACTACTGGTTTCACAAACAGCTTCGTTGATGGTGCGGGAAGACCGATCCATTCAGTCCCCTTCAAAGACCCATCATAATAATTGGTTTGGTACGGCATGTAGTTCTGTTGGTGCATTGCCTGCATTTCTTCGGGTTCCTCGCTGACAGCCGGGGCCGACGGGACCCACTCCTTCTTCGTCTTTTGGTGCCAACTGGGATGCTCTTTTCTTTCCGGCCATACCCCTTTACCGTAACCGTCGTCGTAGTCCTCGCTTATATAGATTTCCTCGTATTTCGGCCTCTTATGCAACTTTTTATGCATCCTTTCCTTGTATTTGTTGTACTTGGCTTTACGAGTAGGTTTTTTGTGTGGTCTTCTAAAATCTTCATCGATGTAGCTATCTTCGTAGAGAGATTCGTCATAGTCGTAATGGTTTATTATTCCCTTTGATTTCGCCCGTACCTTTCTGGGCTTGCTTCCTTTTTTTTTGCTGTATTCTACATCGTCGTACCAGCGTCCGTAGCCTTCTTCGCCGCTGCCTAAAGAGTAGTCCTCCTTTATTCTGCTAGCTTCTCCAGCCAGGCTCTCGCCGCTTTCCTCCGACGAACTGAAGCCCTTAGGTGTTTTCCACTCGAAGCTCTGATGACTGTTCCACTTGGTATTCTTCATCTTCTTGCTTTTACCGCCTTTAGCCTTCCACGTAATGGATTTCCACGATTCCTTAGGGTGGACATCAATTTCGTCCTCGACGTGTACGACGTGAATTGAATGAGGTTTCGTCTTCGGCTTCTTCTTATGTATATGGATCTTTTTAGTGTGATGATGGTATACATGCTTTATTCTCGTAGGAACTTTGATTATAACTCGTTTCCTGCAAAATGAAAAAAATTATGTTTACGAAAAGTAATTTAATTCTTTGCTTTATTATGAAATAACACAATGATGACCGAACAATTATACGATGATTATTTATGTTGTTATTTATGCATTTATGGTTTTTGCTTTATGCTTATTCAAACAATGTAACAAATAATTTAATTTCTATCGACGATTTAAATTACATTGTTATCAAAATATCCTAATATTTATATTTTAGTTATCTTATGTGCATAGTTTTAAAAATAGATCGGACTGTCGTTTTGTCAAAATATTTAAACAACCCATTAGAGGTAAAATAAATAATTTTACAATTTGAAAATTATTGACGGGATTCCAAATTTTCTTAAGTCTCTTTAGACATCACAATGGTTCTTAAACATGTTGAACCGACACAGGGTCACTTACTGGGTTTGTCTCTATTCGCGGGTTTTTGAGATATCTAAACGCGTTTCGGCATTGCGCCTTCTTCAGTGAGGAACTCAGTACTCAAAAAGCGGTTCTCAAGAAAGGTTTTCAAAGAATACAAAATGTTTTCTTACGGCAATTGAACCAAAACGGCCACGTTACAAAATCCTTTATTATAAAATTGAAACGCTGATGAGTGCGATCGGAAACGTTCGATCAAGAACTAGTCTTCTCCGTATTTCCCAGTACAATATCTATAAATGAATTAATAAAACTAACTAATCATGCAATGTATAATAAAATAATGTATTGTGGTTAGAGATAGAATGCCAAAATAAGTAATGACCAGTTGGTTGGTATAAGATTTCTTCTAAGAAAAACATTTAATTTTATTGTTGGAACATATATATGTAGGGAATTAAAGGTCTCCCACAAATAAAAAGATAAAGATTTAAAGTTTATTGGTAAAGAACACATAAACAAAAGTAAAAGGATAACTAGTTAACATTAAAATACATTAGCGTAAAAAGAAACGTGTTCGTAGGACCGCGTGGTGGTAACAACTCAAACTGTCAGCTGGGGCCCAGATAGAGGGGAGAGACAGGGTTCCCGCCATGTAGGGCCTCCGTTGACGTAGTGGCGGTGAACATCCTACATTTATACATATAAAAACTACTAATTAGTAAACCGTAGATCTTTATTCTCCCACTATAATTTGTTTTTCAAGAATATAAATGGTCAAATTTATTTCTTGTCCGATTATTCTTGCCTTTCATAGCTTCGTTGATCGGTCAGACGCGTTTCGGCATTTCCCCTCTTCAGTACTGGGTAAGTGAACCACTCATAAGATAGGGAAATAACGACAAACGTTTAAACGAAGCTCTCTAAGAAAAATAACCCATCTCTGAAAATGGCAAAATGCAGAAAAACATTTGCCAAACCAAACAAGAGGATGAAGACCAGGATGGTGATAAAAGACCAACATATTGATCAATGAATCAAGGATAAATCTCCATATAAAAAATGTATTAAAAATCCTCTAGCCTTTAAAGAATTTTATAAACTGTAACTTCCTAAATTTAAAGATATCCATGAAACGAAAATACAATTATGACAAATAGTGCCAAGTCCAATGAAGAGTTTTGATCCATCGAGCAGACTATTCAATAAATAAATAGTCATCATAAAGGCTTCATATAAAATTAACTATAATTTTTAATACCGTTCATAAAATACAAAGTCTATACAGTAGAGAAACTTAATAAACTCGAAACCTAGCAAAGCTTTCGGCTGAATTTTATTGGAAAAATGTATTTCCAATATGTATTCTCTATTTTTTTATCGAGTGAATTTCCAAGCTCATTGCAGATCTAATGACATTGTATATCCACTTTCTTTCCACATATGTGAACTAAATTAAAATTAAAATTAAAAGGCATGTTAAATGTCAAATGACCCGGGTTCAGACGAGACCCCGTGACCGATGGCATTTTCTACGACCGCACTTATACCGAAATTCCACGGAGAAAGTGAAGTGAAAATGTCATTTGCTAGCGAAGTTAATATTGTCTTCTTATTATCTTAATGATGTGTTATTTAAAGTAACATTCATAAACAGACCTGTGGTGTACTTGTCAGACTATAGCCTGCGACGATGTCATTTCCTTACGCTTCAGTCAAGGTGTTAAATTTTGGCCAAAAATAAAAAAACACTATTTTTTTATGTTTTGGCATGCCGGTCCTACAGTTATTTATATGTCATACGTTGACAGACCTGTTGTATGACCTTATCATTAACATGCCAGAAAACATTGGACGAAAACTACAGCGAGAATAAAAGGACTAGGTTGATGGGGCGTCATCAAACTGCAAGTGGTACGAGTTTTCAGACCTGCAAGGATTATGATTTGTAAAGATGGCGAAATGTCAAAATGAATATAGAACAATTCGGCCAGATTGATGGGGGGGTAAAATCAAACTGCAAACCGAACAAAAAGCCATAATTTGAAAAATTCCGTAAAGATGTTTAAATTGTTCCATCTGTCAAACTAAACCACAGAAGATGATAACATGCCTAAGACTCGTCTGGTATATAAATAAAGTTGAAACAAGTGCACTAGCATGATTAGGATAAAATCAAACCGGAGACCGAACAAAAAGCCATTATTTGAAGGATTTTTTTCTATAGATTTTGTGGTTACAAAGGATTGGCATTTGTTAAACTAACCCCCAAAGAAAAAGGAAAAGTTCTGAAAACCTGACAAATATAACGAGAATGAGCGGACCAAGATTATAAGGGTAAATCAAAATGAAGATCAAACAATAATCCATTATTTAGAATTTATTGATGATTTTTAAATTGTAGCCTTAACTGAATGATTAAACCACAGGAGATGACAAAAAGAAGAGACTTGTCTGATAAAAAAACTATTAATTAGTATATCGTAGATCTCGGTCAAGAACGGTTAAATTTTGTTGCTTTTTTTCCAAATGTATATATGGCCTATAATAAATTTGGTCGTAGCTGCTTTGTTAGTCAGACGTGATTCAGCATTTCGCCATATTCACTGGTAGATCTTTCTACAACTCATACTATTTTTTTTAAATTAAAGACACCACATAACATGAAAAAGAACCTAATGACGTATTGAAGCAAACAATGAAAACCCAAGACACCTATAGACAAAAAATAACGACAAACGTGTAAACGAAACGTGACTAAGAAAAATCACTCACAATGCCAGACAAAATGACGAGACTAGAAAATGGGAAGGTTCTGAAAACGTGACAAATATAACGAGAATGAGCGGATCAAGATTAAAAGGGTAAATCGAGGTAGAATAAAGCAGAAATAAAGCGAGGACTAGCGGACCAGAATAATTTCCCAAAAAGAATTTTAAATAGTGGCTCCAACTGAGGTTTGTGAAAAAAATGCCAAAATGCAGAAAACAAACCGACAGATGATTACAGCGATAATAAGTGGGTGAAAGGTGCCAATTGGGGTAATAAAATCAGGTTGTTTACCGAACCAGTCTTCTGTACTTTGGTTTCCAAAAGTTTTTTGGTTAAATGTTGGCTCTACCTGAGGTTGGTGAACTTAAACTCTGGAGATGGTTAAATTTCAAACTCTGCTGACCGAAAAGACAGCCTGAACAAGCGGGCGAAGCAGATCGGGGTAAAATTAAAATGGAGACCAAACCAGTCTTCTGTACTTAAATGGTCTCCAAAATATTTTTTGTTTGATGATTGATGAAAAGTCGAACTCAAAGCGATCTAAAAGTCATTAATTTTTTAGAAACCCGAAATTTATAAGCAAATGAGATTTAATGAATATGAAAAATTGATGTTTTAGTTCAACATAACTAACAACCTAGATTGAAAAATTTTACCACCCAATTAAAAATACTCAAAAAATTAATAGTCATTATATGAATAATTTCTTACAGATTTCTACATAATGGCTCTAATTGGTTGAAATTCGTTAAAACTAAACCACTGAAGATGGCAAATTGCTGAAGACGTCCTGACAGAGAAAAACATTGAGAATAAGCGGACCAGGATAGTTGTGGTAAAATAAGAATGGAGATCAAACTAGTCTTCAGAAATTAAAGGGTTTCTATGTGTATTTTAAATTATGGCTCCAACTAACTTACATTTGTCAAACTAAACCACTGAATATGACAACATCCCGACGATAAACACAGCAAGATTAAGAAAGATTGGGGTAAAACCAACCAAACTGTAAACCCAACAAAAAAAACCTTATTTGAAAGAATGCCTAAACATGATTTAAAATTGTGGCTGGAAATGAATCACATTTTTGAAATCAACAACTGAAATTGGTCAAGCTTAACTGAGAGATAAATACAACGACAACAAGCGAACCAGAATGATTAGGGTTAAAAATCACAATTCAGACCGCAAAAAAACCAATTTTTGAAAGATTCCCCAAATAAATTGAAATTGTGGCTCGAACGGATTGAAGTTTTTTAAACCAACTACTGAAGATAGTAAAATGTCGAAAAAAAAACTGACGACGTTAGTAATAACGAAACGATTGTGCAGACATTTACTAGCGTTCTATGTTGGTGAAATATTTTTATTGATTTATTAAAATTTGTTTTAAGTATCACTTACTTTTTCACTTCATCCGCGTCAGAAGGTTGCACCCAAATAGTGATCAGGCTTAAAGTTGCCAGGAGAAGGCCCTGAAACATGACAAAAATAAAACAATTTGTAAAACGCAGATTATTACTCTACAAGTTATGCGTTGTGACTTAAAATTTGCCTGCGGTATTATTTATATATTTCTAGGTTGTGTTAGTATTCTAGCAAAATCCTTAGAAAAAATCATTAGTATATTGAATAATTGACTGAGTATATCCGAGATTTCGGTCGAATCGAATGTCGGTTCGGCTATCACAGTCATCCCACATCACTTGTCACTGATTTCCACAAACACTTTTACTTACAATCCTAAGGACGTTGGCCATTTCGCTGGATCTCCCTGCTCTTGGTAGTCAGACAATACTGATGCAGAATAGCGGATGTGTGCCGCCTTTATACTATCACGGCCGAGTAGAGCGGAACAAGTGTAATGAGAGACATCGTGTATTAAAATCATAAACATTCTTTTTTACCGACATGGCCAGCTTCCGGTTACCAACGGAATTCGACTGGACCTATCATGATACTTCCACCTTTCTGACGGTGTCACAAAACAACACCCCATGGAATTTCTAGAAACGTATACTCATAAATAGTTATTCGTCATGCTATCTAGACAATGTGCGGTTTCTTTAATTAATTTAGCAAATTTTTATAGCATTTTTATGGCATTTTATAGCATCTGAGAAACGATTTGGTTACAAACCATTGAACTCAAAAAATTCAAAATCCACATTGCAGAAGTAAATCCTGATTTTCTTAAGCAAACATGTTGAAAATATATAAAATGCGTTAGTGATAAACAATTTTCCCAGATTTTTCCGTAATTACATATTTATCAATTAATATATAAACAAAACATAAAGTGAATCGACATATATCTTCTTTTTTTCATGAACGTTATCAGTTCAGATAGTTGTTCTCTTCCAAATATAAATAAATAAAGTTTATTTCGTATTTGTATGTATAGAATTACAATAAATGTACTATCGGGAATAATAAAGTAAAAAAACCCATAAAATATCTGAAAACAATAAATAGGCACTACGTTTTACATATACTACATTTACAGTACACAGCGCTGAAAATTTACAAACCAACTAATTAATTATTTTTAGGGAAATATCTTCGTCTTTTTACTTTTTATTTGTTATTTACAACAACAAAGATTGCAATTTTGCTATTTTGTTATGTTGATGAGTTTGAGTAACATGTAGAAGTCACCCTGTGGCAAAACTCTTTCTTACTGTAACGTCTTCACTATTCTTTTTATTAATTTTTTTAAGTATGTTTGTTTCTTGCTTTTCAGGCTTGTGCGAGGATTTCAATCAGTCGTTTGTTATGAGAAGTCCAGAACAAAAGGCAGCTGTAGATAATGGGGTTCCATGCTCACTGGAGGACAATACATTTACGGTATGTAAAATTTAGCTTTTAGTTAGGTTAACTATAATTTTTCTTGCCATACCACATGCCTCCAATTCATTCAGGTGTTGTATTTTTGACTTTTTACGGCGGGTTCCAAATTACGTGTAAGAATCGCTGTACCATCAGCGAATGAATGTGTATATTGAAATATCACGCGTGCAGTGATATCCGTAGTGTATATTGAAAATAGAAATGGGCCAAGATTGCTTCTCTACAATACATATATATACACTCTACACAAAANAAAAATATATATATATATACATAATACTTACTACTACTAATTATTAATTTACATAATAAATAAATGACATCGCATCAATTATAGAGCTCTAGTTCAATAAGCAAGTTGTGGCATTTTCTTTTCAAATCCGGCTTTTTTTAAATTCAATCAGTTCATAAATTTTAATTGAATTTTTTGTCATCGAGTAACTAGAATGCACAAAAAATATAATATTGTGGTTGGACAGGGTGAATTTGTCCTTGTTCCTGGTGCCGAAGTCATGATATGTTATTAGACAATATATTATTTATAGAATATAACTTCCGGAAACAGTTATTATATTAATCTGTTTAAACTTTGAGGAACATCTGTCTCTAGATCCCAGCCCAAGCATCACTTTCAAAACTCTCTTTTGGAGTAGGAAACCTTTATGAAGCAGGCCAAGCAATGCTAAAATGTAATGCCATATATTACATGTGCCATAAAAACGGCATAATGGGCTGTTACCAGTTGAGATTGGTTTCAAACAAGGCCAATACACGCAGCAATCTGTTTACGCACCAGTAAATATGTGACAGTCAAAACCAAGTTTTTAATAACGTTCAATACCCAATAACCTCGGGCAGGGCACATTGTCCAATTGTCAATACGAAACATTAAGTGAAATGGTAATTTCAATGCTACAAGTTCTTGTCCTGTTGAAGATTAAACATGATTTATAATGATTCAAGCTAAGCCTGCTAATAGCAAACTCCTGGCAAATATTTCGGTTAGATGTGAAGAGAGAATAAGCTCGAGCCACGAATTTGGAGCCATCAGCTTTGTTAATTATGAAACAATTGAGGGCAGGTAGGCGGACAGTCAACACTAAACTAACTTACAGTGGGCCTAGAATGATCCCTTGAGGCACTCCCTTAGTGAATAGGCAATTTATCTTCAGAATCGACTGCACTGAGTGATGCCAACTTTAATATCCAGTACAGACTGCCTTCCCCGGAGATATGAGCGAAATTTCTTTAGTGCATGACGTCTTACACCATAGCCTCCAACTCACTGATAACTATATCATCATAAACTCGGGTAACACTTTATATAATTGAATGGGATAGTCATTTATAATTTTCCAATAATTCTAATCTCTTTTCTTACGGATGAGGATAATCAATACATGATTAAAAGCATCCGGAAATTCTCTTTGACCGATGGAAAGATTCAAGTGGCTCAGCAATATACGTCATGGTTTCTTAACTAGAGAAGCTGGTAGTTCATCCAAACCCTTGGTCGATGTACTACATGGTATGTCGTACGTGTATAATTTCATTATAAGATAATATGTATGAGGGAGGATGTTGTTTACTTTCCAAACCAAGCCCTAGTCCAGACTCGATCGAAGGCTTGTACAAAAATCAAGAAACACGCCCAGTTGCTTTTGTACAAGGGAAGGGGCGATGTTGTCAGTAACACACTGAATCTGTTGAGATATTGAATGAACGTTTGGGCATAATGTTAGCTGTTTCAATTATAAGCAATCTTTCGAGGAGTTTTTTTTTAGAAATTTGTCTAGAGGTAATAGAAGCCTAAGGAAACGATAGGAACCTAGAGGGTCAGCATTTGTGAGTTTTGTCTACATTTCGTCTTGTTCCACGGGGTATGATTCTAAACCTCGAAAGACCTTCGGAACAGTGCCTTGGCTGTGGCTTCATCAGCTCGTTTCAGGTGTACTGCGGGTGCCCTCTGCTCCTTTTCCAATCTCTCTCCAATTATGTTAAGCTATAGCTTGACACTTTTCATATCAACCTGCCAATTCCAATTTCTTTTGGCTTGTGTTGCAGTTATGTTCTTGAACCAGTCTGCTTCTTCAATCATACTTTTTTCCGGTCATTCCTGTTATATATGTACATACCGTTACATATGTATATATGTTATGTTATATATGTATGTATATATGTTATATATGTTATATATGTATGTATATATGTTATATATATGTATATATACGTTACATATGTATATATGTACATACATGTTATATATGTACATACCGCTCCAGGCTCTTAGCCTGCAATTTTTGTATTGTTTTGATGTCCAAAGTCCATGCTTCCCAACACTATCTTAATAACGGCAGTACCAAAATGCCCCACAGTCTGATCTTCACCAGAACTTCATCTTAAAATCGCAAGAAGTTTTTTTACTAAAAAAAATTCTCCCAGGCTAAAGTGTACCTCTTTTTACTCACTGAAATTGTTCAGCCTTAGGTAATTTGAAATGCATCCGTTTATATAATTTTGAAAGTGCCGTTCTGTCCGATGAATTTCCGCTGTAAGACGTGAGTTTTGATTGTGGTACATGTCTCCAATTCAAAAATTGACTACACTCCGAGTTATGTAAACATTATAATCTTCATTTATGTTGTTTGGAGAAAAGACGAGTTGAAACGTCATGACACATAAATCTTATAATTTAGTTGGCAGCTAGCAACTATATCTGTTGTTCTAATAAAACCTGTCTGCAACAATAAAGAAATCATTCAGCGTGAAAATATTTTTCATTCGTTGTGTTGAGATTTTATCGATTTGTCTGACTACTTTGTGACACTAGATTTGAGGTGAAGGCTATTATTTCTTATCAAAATGAATTAAAAAGTTTAGGTGTTATACATTTTGCCTTGTAACTAAATTAAATACATAGGAAAATGTGAAAAAATAGTATATTTATATTATGTAGGTCATAATTTCATACAAGTAATATCTCCCAGGCCCAAAACGATGAAACTACATGGTTACGGTGCTTATCGACTAAGCCCTGCATGTTTTATGTATGATACATTTAGAATGTGCTGTACATAGTAATGTTACTATAAGTCACCACTTTTCCATCTATTTGATACCAATTCAATCTCATTTCTGTACCCTTCCAAATTGTACCGTTCTTCACATGGATTTATTATCCCATAGATTATTAAAATTACACTAATTGGTTAGAAAAAGATTTGAACCAAACAAAACCCCATTATAACATAGAATACTTAAAAAATAATCAAAAATTATAGAGTTGTTAATTTAATAATTTAATAATTAAAGTTAATTAAATCATGAGAAGTCAGATAAATTTGGATCATTTTGGTATACAAGGAAGATGATGAACGAACTTCAGAGGGTATTAAGATAAACTATTTCGACTAATGGCCTCTAAACAAAAATAAAATTGGCTTTTTCAGGTTGCTCTCATGTATGTTCTAATCCCCCCCCCCCCGAGATGGGATGTAAATAAAAAATCTCAATATGAAATATGTTCTTAGCTAATAAAAGTAAAGCAACTCCTGTCATACGAGGAGGCATAACGTCCAACTCTGGGAGACACGGACGATGTGTCAAACCACTTTATAATACATTTTTCATGCTATTATCTATTAAAAAGCGATGGGTTAAGCCAGGATTCGAACCCAAAATCTCTAGTTGACAAATAGGGGTCGGGCGCCATAACTTTCCATTAATACCATTAATAAACTCGCATTTTTCCCAGCACATCACACATTTTCAAACATTTGCTGTTCACTGTGAAAAATTCTACCTTTCAGTTTAGCAAGTAGTAGTGAGCAGGCAAGAATAATGTAATTAACAAAAAAAAACATTTATTATAAAATCACGTTAGCAAATAAACAAATTAACAACAATATAAATAAACATAACGTTATTGGTTAACTTTGGACGCTCTTTGGCCATTTGGTTTGAAACGAACGCTTTCTTTTTGGTATATCATTCTTAAGAATTTGACTATTGCAAGTAAGGATATATCTCCTGTCCGATTTGCGCGTAGACGTTGAATTCCCCGTTCGAATCCGAGGATTCATCGGCGGAGGTGTGGTGGTGATGATCGTCGTCGTGGATGGCATGGGAGTGGGCGTGGCCACTGTAACCATGGTGCTTGTGCCCGTGTCCGTAGTGTCCTATGTGTTTGTGGCCGTGACCGTAGCGACCGAAGTGCTTGTGCCCGTGGTCGACGTCACCCTGGTGGTCGTGTTCGTGTCCGTAGTGTCCGCCGTGGTCGTGGCCGTGGGCAAGGTGCCCGTCGTGATTGTGGCCGTGATGGGCGTGTCCGGAGTGCTCGTGTCCGTGTCCGACATGTCCCTCGTGGCCGTGCCCGTGGCCCAAGTGGCCTTGGTGGTCGTGCCCGTGCACATGGTGCCCTTTGTGACTGTGCCCGTGGTCGAAGTCGCCACCGTGCTTATGAGTGTGATCCGATGAGCCGTGGTGCTTGTGCCCATGGACCGCCTGGCCCGTGTGTTTGTGACCGTGGTTGAAAGCTCCACCGTGCTTATGAGCGTGACCGAAGCCTCCGGTGTGCTTGTGTCCGTGCCCATGAGTGCCGGAATGCTTATGGCTGTGTTCGCCATGGCCAGCATGGCTATGAACGTGGTCTACGTGACCCTTATGCTCATGCTTATGATTTACCGTATGCTCCTTCTTTCCTCCATCTATTATTTTGTAGACAGTGTGCGTATGTTTTATAATCTTCTCGTGTACAGGTACTTTGATTATGACTTTTTTTCTGCAACCAAAAGCACAGGGATAAGTCAGAATTAGTGTGATTACTAAGCCTAGCCTTATAGTAGTAAAATATCAATACAACATAATATATGCATTTATTTACGTATATAAATTTAAGAAAAAAAGATAAATTTTCATACATTTATTCAAATAATCTGAAGAAAAAAGATCTTAATCGGTTAGTAATTATTATATATTTTGTTATTATTAACAATTTAATTATTTAAATAGCTCAAATATATTCGTCAAAAAGAATGGATTATAATTTTTAAATTGTAAGCTGACCTAATTCCTGGTAGGTTAGCTGGTCCTGTCATTTCAGCTATCTTGTTATATATCTAGTATTTATCAACTTTTGTTGACGTTTTAATGATTCTAAGGTGAACTATTGAAGCTCATTAAAACTAAGTTATATTAAAATAATAAAAATGATGAATCAATGTTAGTTTTTTTGCTATTTTGGAAATAATGTAATCCATTCGATTTCGAGGAAAGGTAAAGAACTAGAATGTTTTATCTAGTTTTGACTACGTGGGAAACGAACGTTTCTCACGAGCGGATACTTACGAATGGGATCCTTCGCCGTCGTCGCCGAACGTCCGGGCTAACTGCAGGTTGAAAGCAAGGCAAAGTGCCACCTGGAACAAAGAGGATTCGGTTGAAATAAAACAAACTCGTCCCGGGGTTGAGTTTTCGATAGGGGAGACCATTAGCGACCTGTCGTGAGATTATCGAGACAGTTCTGTAATGTGAGGTTCCCAGAAGAACGCCCAAAAGGGTTGTTATCTCTCATGGAATGCGACCTCTTCAACCCGTCATACCTGCATACCTGGCATCATAAAACAACCGCCAAACCGCCAATTGGAAAGTAACGATTTTATATTGTCGTTTTTATTGCCTCGAAAGGGAAGCCAAGGTTGCAATTCAAAGATTCCTTGTTAGAAAATATTCAATACTTAAAAAAAGTTAGCTTTTCTATACTACTAACTTTCATACTAACAAGGTTTATAGGAAATGATTAGTGTATGGCAATTTCTCGCGGTTTCATGTCATATTATTTCACTTTAGTTTCGGTTTCTTTGTGGGCGTATTATGTTTTCATATAATACTGTTCATCTTTAAGACAGCGTCCTATTTGGCTCGAAATCTCCCACACTGTTAAAAATTTTGGTGAAAAAAAAAAATGAAATTTAGTGCTCAATATATTTCAATAACGTTCTCTCAATCTTCCGACAGCGGACGTGATACGAAACGTAAGGACGCGTATAAACAACAAAACTAAAATAACAGGAGTAGAATACGCACACAAAACTTAAACGTCAAATTGAAAGACACTTTCACAGAAATTAATAAATCTATCTAAAAAGAAAATCCTGTGAATCTGCACCACATCAAATAGCTATAAAATTAGAAGATTCATTGAACAATCAAGAAACGGCATTAGGAACGTTCTTGCATATTGAACGAGGATTTGACAAAACTCCTTCTGAAGCGATGGCCACAACCCTAAGGCAATGAGGAACTGATGAAATCTGAACTGCTCTATGAAAACCATGCTAAAATACGAAAAATTCTGGTCTCCATTTCGACAAAAAAGTCGAAGCTGTAATGGCGAGAGGGTGTCCGCAAGAAGGAGTACAGCTTGTCTGTGGTATATGTGTGAATGATCTTATATGCGAATTGAATAACAGCGTAATCTACACCCAAATGCAGGTGGTATATAGTCAGAGGAAAATTTGCCACAACATTTAAAGAGTTCACTCCAAGAGCACTTACCAGGCACAAAGCAAATAGTTCAAATACCACACTAATTGCAATTACCAAGACAGAAACATAGATAGTAGGCCCATATACAACAAAGTGTTCTAATTCAAAAAGTAGATTAACCCTATCCATAACATTCGACAAGAAATTAACCCGGACCTCTCACCTACAACACATGCAAAAGTTCACTACTGGCCACAGGATGAACCGTTTTTACCTCTTAGGGATTAAAACCAAAAGTAAAATACCACTTTTGGTCACAAGAACCGTAAAAAAACTTGGAAACTAATACCAAAAATGGCAAATTGTGTATGCTCAGCAGTAATGAACTGTAAGAAATCCTATGGTTCATAATCTGGTGGGCTAAAGCTAATGAAAAAACAAGGTCCCAAAAAGTTAGGCAGCAGCGAAGATTATTCCAATCATTACAGGAGCAATAAAAACAACCCTTAGACATAGTATTAAACCTACTTGCATTGGACACATTTATTCAAGGCGGACATGGGAAAAGTGAATCAAGATTTTTTTTAAAGTTAGGTAGGGACTAAAAATTTCGGGTACACAACATTAACAAATCGAATCAGATACCCATTCTTAGAAATGGTGATTGCTATATGATCCCAGAATCATCCCTTGCCACTCACTATAAAGTTTTAACAATAGGAGAAAAAGAAGAAATCAGGAATATCTGGAAGACCAATTATAGATCTAGAACCTATATTTGAAATAACAAGATAAATCTAACGAACTAGACAGAGGTAACAAACAAGTTGCTCATAATTGAAGAATGTTCACCAAAATTTGAGCGCACATTGCTACAGTTAGAAGTCATATGTAAACATAGGTGCAATGAAAATAACTCCATCAACTGCATTAGAAATACTGTTCATCCTTCATCCACTGGAAACATTTATTACAAGGAGAAGCTATGAAAAGCTAATCCAGACCCCAAAAACATTCAAATTGGTGAGGGACTAATCATTTTGGGCACACAAGAATAACCAATAAAATCAGATACCCATTCCTAGATATGGGGACTAAATATATGGTTTCGAAAACATTCTTGAAACATAACGATATCAAGAAGACCTGAGAAAAACATTACCAGCAATGACAGTCAAAGAGAAAGATCGAGTCAATTGAACTGCACAAAGCAATTAGGAAAAGTACAATATCCAGAAAGTTGTAAATCTGAATTGCTAGGGGAATACATCCATTTTTGCATTCCAGTATCATCATCATCACATAAGAATAACAATCAAAATCAGATACCTGTTCCTAGAAATTGAGACTGATGTATGATCACGAACTCAACCATTACAACATTCTATACAGTTTGAGCAGAAGAAGACTCATCCAGACTCCAAAAACAATCAAATTGGATAATGATTAAACATTTCGATAGCAAAACAATAAATAAAATCAGACGCAAATTTATAGAAATAGGGACTGACTATATGGTCATGGAAAGATACTTGTGTCAAACCTATGATATCAAGAAAGACCTAAAAAAAAAGGAATGACAGTTAATGACCTACTTCTTAAGAGAAGGATCGCGTCAATTGAATTAAACAAAGGAAAAGTACAATAAGCCAGTAGGCTGCAAGGCCGAGTGTTTGGAGAAAACAAAAATCCCCCTTCTTAGCGTTCCACTATCATCATCATCAACATCATGAACTGGTGAAATGGTACAAAATCTTATAACGGAAACTTAAAAGACAATCCAATCTATCACTGCGACTATTATAAAAATACAGCTATAACCAATATAGACATACGTACTAGGGTTAATCAGACTGCTCAATCAAAAATTCTTGGAAAATTTCTCTATGCTCTATTTTGAATGCTAAATGAAATCACATTCAAAACATTTAATGTTCCTTTTGTTCAAAAATTAGCTCGATTTTGTAAATTTCATTAAAATCTTCCTATCATTATAAACCCTCTAAAAGAAAAACTATCATCCTGGCATATTCCATCCATTACCGCACATTAGAAAGACGATGGCCTAGCGATCGCAAAAATCTTATGAAGCAAACTATTAGTGTTTATTTAATTATGGATAGCTCAGCAGTTTCTCCATTCAATGCAACTTTGGACCTATTTTTTGTTGTTATTTTCCCATAAAATTTCTACTTGAATTTGATTATAATATGACAAATAAATTTTCACTTTGATGTTTCAATGGTGTTTCATTCGGTGGAAGTGATTCGGGCTCCGTTCTGCAATGTACCGTTTGGCAGGTTCATCAATTCAATTAGGAAAATTTTCACTCCTTTCTTCAAAAGTATGCACTTTTCATTGTATGCACCCGTGACTTTATCTCCATATCGTCGCTTTCATCTTTCGTCTCCACAGTCCTTGAGCCAGAATTACATAACAGCGCGTCATTAAAAAATGTAAAACATGAAAGACTGAAGTTCTTCTTAATTAGGTCCTGCGTGTTATTTAGACATACGTTTTCGAACGCAAGACCCTTTCTTGACTTTTTTTTAATATAGTATAACGGTTTGTGTGTATAGATGACTCGCGACGGAACTAAAAGAATGAAGGCTGGTGCTGAGAAACCCCCATTGACTTTAAACAAATATATTACTAAAAAAATATTACAAAACACATCAAACAAACAAACAAACATTGCTTTATATCGTTATATATTTCTTAGGACGTGTATGTGAAACTTGGCCACTGAATTCAATTTTTTTTGTGTGTGTGAATCTTGTATTTTCTAATTGTGAAAGAAAGGACAAATGTGGCCAGGATCAGTTCTGTGGCCACTGAGGCGAGGCGATCTTTTACCAGACATTAACGTTCTATTCATTCAGGTCCGCTTTCATCTGCGTGGAAGGGAATTGCGTCTCTCAATTTTCTCAAACGGCCGAAGTTTAGAAAGCATGTCCGCCGCCATCGGCTCGGTTTCCTCTTTGGGTGAAAAATAATTAATTGTATTCAACTCAGAATTTGTCTTTGAAAAGTCCAAGAAGGTAAACACCACACCTCAACCGAGAGCGAGATCCACCGGCGTGGTAAAAAACCATCCGAGTGGTTTATACGACATTATACGACAAAGGTTAAGATTGACGGGAAATGCTTATTTTCCCCTTGACATTCGCTCAACATCGGTCTTTCCGATTCTTGCTTGTAGATCTCTAGAAGGAAAACCAACAATGGAGAGATCAATCGTTTAATTTGCGGAACGCGAGGCGAAACGACACGGCTATCACTCAAAGTGTAAAAATTCATAGGAAGTCGTCTCGGACACTTCCTCGACCCACGTAACCACGAACACGTCGAGCCAGATCGTACCATTTTGCTATTTGAAAACCGTGACGGCTGCTTACACCTTTCTGCTCGTACTCTTTTTCATCCCGTCCAATAAGCTCCTTTTGTGAAGTTTAAAGTTATTCTCAAAACTAGTGCTCTCAACCGTATCTGTCAAGTCTTGATAAGTTGTAGATTTTAGCACCTAATCACAATTGATAAGCTAGTATCATAAGAGAAGACTCAGAAGATAAGAATAGCAATAAATTGTTTTGTCACTTTTTTTTTTTAGAAAAGTCACTTTTCGCTATTTTAGAAAAGTAAAGAATAGAAATTCTTTCTTTCCTTTTTATCATTATATTTACATACATGAACAACAACAACCATACACACAGCTATAGAAGCCTGCGCATTATTTGTTGTAGCTGAAGAGGGGAAAAAAGCAGCACAGCAGTTGAATTAATAATTAATAAATTAAAATATAATTTTCCAAAAATCGAAATTGGAAATGAAAACATTTGACTAGACATGAGATGTTTGCAGATTTAATTCTTACGTATACCCTTTACAATTTTTTATCACAACCTCTGTCGATTTAAACGTAAAAAATGTG